CTTCGACCAGCTCTACCAGGAGGCCTTTCTCGCGGCGAGATTTTGCTCTCGGCCTCGAGAGCCTCGAGAGCCTCGAGCCCGCTCAGGCGTTGAAGTCGCCGGCAGCGCTTCGGCAAAAGTACGGATTTGGTTTTTGTTTTGGCAGCCTCGCCTTGCCTCGTGGCTTGGTTTCAGGCTGAGACGGCCCCGGCTTCCCAGGCGGCCTGGAGCGGCGTGTCCCACGAATTTGTCATATTTTTTTGGTTTTTCGCGCTCTGAAGGCGCCTGCCTCGGCCCCACTGACGGCCCAGCTCGGGCAGGCCTGTCCCTGTTCTCTGCTGCCCGACTATTGACTTCTGCCACTGTTTTGCAGGCGCACCCACTTCTGGGTTCCGACCCCAGTCGCAGCGATCTGGAAAGTGTCGCGCGGGAGCTCCACCACAACAACTTGGTTCAGGTCCTGGCATGCGAGTGCCTCCTCCGCCGCCCCAGATCCCAGGGATGCCGCAGGCCCCGGCCGCAGGATCCCGCAGGTGTCCGTGTCTCCGACCGTCCATTCTTTGAGTCTCAGGTTCCGCCTCATGCGCATGCGGTTCCACAGGCGAGCTGTTGCCGACTCGAGCTCTGCACACTGCTAAACGTACTGCTAAACGTTGCCAGGCACCTCCGCATGCACATGCTCCGCCTCCGGGCAACCCGTACTATAACGCATCGCCCTCGGAAGCCGCGTTGACCAGCGGTGTCCTCCTGCTCCTTTGAGGCGATGTGCAACATGATGAGCAATCCCGTGGTTGCCTGAGGGCAGAGCTGTGTGGGAGGGGAGACAGACTCCGTGTCCGTGCTCACCCAGAGCCCCTACCCGCGGCAGGCAGTGAACCCGTATCTGCATCAGCAGCCGTAAGCCGAGATTTGGCGACAGGGGCGGCACGCTCTCCCTGAGCACCCAGACAGGCGAGGGCGCGGGTGTTGGTTTCTCTGAGGTTTATGGCGCAGCAGGCGGCGGGGAGCTCAGAAGCAACCGAGTACGGATGGTAAGCGGGCTGAGCTCAGGCCTATGCCGCATACCAACAGCAGCTTCAGCAGGCCGATGCCGTGTGGAGTAAGCCGTCCCTCGACTGAGTGATGCGTCCGCAGGCCGCGCAGCACCAGCAGCTGATGCAAATGTCCTGCTCTTTCTTCTCGGTGCGCGTGCAGTGCAAATGCGTGCCGTTCTGCCAAACTCAGGTATGGAGATCCCAAGGGTGGCAAGTTCGGCAAGGCAGCTTTGGCGCGTTGCCCCTCGCAAGAGTTGCCGATCTCGACTTCTAAGGGGAAGGCCGCGGGTCAGGGGCCGAGTTTGTCTGAAGAAGAGCCTCGTCAGTGCAAACGCGCCGAGGTAAGGATGGCAAGGGCAAGGAAGGCAAGGGGAAGGATCCCATGGCAGAAGGCGGAAGCATCAAAGAGAGGACCTTCCTCTGATTTTTTTATTGATTCTCCACTTCGGAGGGGCGCCTGCCTATGCTGCTGTCCCTGCTGCCCCGGCCGTGCATCCGACGCTTTTCGGTGCGAGTCCTCGCGAGTCAAAGTCCATCGGTGACGTCTGCCAGGTGCCTGAGCAGGCACCCGAGGTGCCACTCCGAGCCGCACGTCCCAAGCGGCTTCCTTGCGGGCTCGCGGTGGTCAGGTCGCTCCAGCGCCAGCGGAAGCTCCGGCGGCAGCCGCGCCGGCTGCGGCCGCGGCCGCTGCGGAGGATGGCGCGGCTCCGGCCGATCCGGCCGCTGCCGCCATTGTGTGTTGACCTCAAGCACACACTGCAAAAGGGCAGAATCAGCAAAAGGGCAGCAAAAGTGCGGGGTTTGGGGCAAATGCGTCTGCACAGGCCGGACTTCACTCCCGCGAAGCCGCGGCTTCTGCAGATCGTGGATCCAAACAGCGGCCCAGAAAAATCTAAGCACGGGTCGCAGAGCCAAGAAGTCGACCGATCCGAGGTGGGAAGCCCATCGACACCATGGGCATGAACTTCGTCCCGTCTTGCCCCAGCTGAGGTTCCCAGGCCTTGTGTCCCCTGGCATCCTTTCTGATTTAGGCGGAAGCCATCCACGCCACTGCAGATCACCAACCCAAGCACCGGTGAGGCCGAGTCGCCGAGCTCTGTGGGCCCCGAGAGCTTGGCTGATTAGTTACTGCCTGAGGCTGTGGCGATCGAGACCAAGGGCTGAGAGCAGTTTGGTCTCACGACTTTGCGCTGGGCGGTGTTGTGTTCCATGGTCCGGTGCCGTGCCCAATTGTGGCGTAAATGTAGCGACCGGGCTAACAGGGTCTGAAGCAAGGTTTCCCTAACAGCACATGGTCTTAAATCTCTTGTTCAGACTGCTCTGCCGAACGGTGGTGGCATCGACCCTGCAGCCCTGGATGTGTTTCGGTTGGCACGCGGCAGCCTGCCGTGGTTCCGATTTGAAAGCCTGTGAATGTCCCTTTTGAGTTGCCCAGTGAGTGTAATGGTTTCTGTGTAGACTGTAGGCTCTGGTGTAGACCGTGTTAGGCCCGCGTAGGGAAGAAGCGTAGTCGTAGTGGCTCCCGGTTTCCTTGCGAGCAATGTCTCGAGTCTGGGCACTCAGCAGAGCAGCTTCCAAGTGACGCGGAGCCGCTTTGCTCTGCGGCACTGCGCACCGGATTGCTTTGGTCTGCGTGTACAAGTTGGCGCACTCCTTGAAGCCCTGCGGGCCGCGGGTCCCCCCGGTCCCTGTGCCCTCAAACTGCAGAATCCCACCAGGTGCGATGGAAGCAGCCGAAACAGGATTTCTGCGAGCGACCCAGCGGCCTCTCGTCAGTCTTGAAGGGTGAAAAAGGGCAAACGGGCCCAGGTCGGAATCCCTACAACGCCGCTCGGATTGAGTCGAACTCGATATGACGTGCAGAGCTTCTAGCTGTTAGACAATCTTTTTGTCAGTTTTCCACTTCTGAGCTGTGTGTCGACTGGGCCTGGCTGTTGGCCTTGCCAGCACGATTGCCCTGCGAGCTGTCTGAGGTGACTGGGCTTTGCAACAAGGCGGCGTGTCCTTTGGCAAACAGCCAGTGACCTGCTAGGTTCAGCATTGGATCCAGATGCATGAGTTGTACTTTCAGCTTGCAGAGGTATGCCACCATTCTGGAAGACGAGGGCGTGAACTACCTCTACATGAAGACGGCCAACTTCCAAGGTTTATAAGGGGACAAGTGCTGCATCCAGGAAAGCCTTGCATTTGGGAGGAAGCCTGTCTCATCCGAGGTGGAGAGAGCTCACTCACCCAAGAATTTGTGGGAGAGAGTCAAGCTCTCCAGGACTCTCTGACGTGCGCACTGCCCAACCCTTGCAGGCCCTTGGCCCCAACCCCTGCGGCCCCCGCCTCGAATGCGGTTCCCCGCTGCCACACTTGGCTCTGCCATGCTCCTGCTGTATCTGCCGTACCAGTAGCCGGACCCAGAGGGTACCCGGTTACCGGAAGGCACGCAGACGGCGGGAGGTTTTGAATACGGGGTCTTTGCAGGAAGTTCCGGAAGGCTTTCTAAGACAGTGATACGCAAAGCTGGGGTTGTGATCGGATCTTTGCTTCAGATGTGATTGCACCTGGGAATGCCCTCAAGCGGACGCTACCGTTCAGTTCCAGCTGATGCTAATGTAACGTCATTCAGGAGGTCGTTCAAGGCCGTCTACTTCGATCGGAGATTCGTAGCTCACTTGCTTAAGGGGTGGAAGCATTATGTGTCATTCAATTCTGCTCAGCACCCTTGCAGGCATGACGAGCATTGATAAGGCGCGGACGCCTTGCCGGGATCGAAGTTACGGGGCACAACACGCGGGCAGGCCAAGAGGTCAATAAGGTCCCAACCTTTGGTGCAAATCTCTCGCACTCAAGCTGGAGAAATCATTGTGAAGAGCATTTTGAAGAGCATTTTATTTTGAAGACAAGCAGGGCGTGTTCCTCGTTCCTCGCCCGAAGCAAAGATACCGCCAGGACAGTTTCTCCCTCAGCGCCCTCGGCCACCAAGCGCAAAGCCAGCGCTTGTCTGCACCTCACCACTCCATCTCGTGCGTCAGCCGAGATGCACGGCAGCTTCTCGGTCTCTGAGAGTTAGGGAGTTGCTGTGGAGCAAGTCGGGGTTTCGCTCGCTTTTCAGTATCGCGGTGACCGCTGCTTAGTCAGCTGTCCAGGAATGTGTTCATTACGGAGCACCATATCAAGCCAAACCGCTTGGGGCGAGAGTCACCAAAAGTGGACACGGTGAACTTGCCGTCCACACTAGATACGAATCTGCTGCTCGGCAAAGCTCCTCTGTCTTCGGTTGCAGTCCGCGCATGTAGATTTGTGACTGCAGGGCAACGACGACTGGCCTCGGATATGGGGGCAGGTCGGATTTCACGGCTCAGAAGGTGGATCCGGAAAGCGCCTTGGCAGTGAGAGAAAGTGGGACTGGGAGGCGCAGCGCAGTCGACCCCCCCTTAAAAATACTGCGGAAGTGAGACCCTGAAGCCCTAGAGTCCATGGCGAAAGGAAAGGATAGCCCGAGGCCTGCTGGAAGGTGGAAGGAAGGGAAGGGAAGGGAAGGGAAGGGACGGGACGGGACGGGACGGGACGGGAGGGAGGGAGGAAGGAAGGAAGGAAGGAAGGAAGGAAGGAAGGAAGGGGGAGCGAAGAAGGAACGGGGAGCGAACGAGGCTCAAGATCCGGGAATGGGTCAGGACGTTCTCTCACTTCGCGTGTTGACTGATTAGTCTGTACTGGCCTGGGTAAAGAGAGAGCAGAGAGACAAAGAAGCGACGCAGCCCATTGAAGCGCTTTGTTCTATACTTTGCAGGCATCCCCACCAACGATGCTATGAACCTTCTGCCGGACGGTCAGCAGTTCAAGTACAAGCGGGAGCCGAAGATTGTCATTGGCACGGTGCCTCCGGCCGCACACTCATTATAATCATTATAAGTCATAGGTAAGTAAGGGGGCTCATCGCTGGTATCATCCCCATGAGAGCTCATTGCTGCTCTGCTCTTTCTGCTCTCTGAGCCAGGAGCCCCGCTTCAGCTTGAAGGAGTCCACCCTTCTGAAGACCCACAAGGCCGCCTTCTTCGGCAGATCCTCGCCGGGACCCGCCGCAGTGGGCGATCAGCCCCGAGCCCGGAGACGCCCTGCGCGTTCTGTGTATTTCTGTGTCTTCTGCTTCGCAAGACCCAGGTTTGGTCCAAAGTTCGAGGCCACGAAGCCAAAAATGGCGGCGGCGTTTCCATTCGTGCCGAGCCCAGCGTGAAAGCAAAAAAGAGAGGCGCGGCTGTGCGGCCGTGCGGCCGTCTCGAGGCCCACAAGACCAAGCTTGTTTGGCCAGGGGTCTACAACAACCCACCCGAGGCGCCTCTTCACGGCTTCTCTTAGGCCCTTGGAAGTTCATTTTTGTTGCCAGGTTGGACCCGGAACCTTCGAGCGAAAGGAGCCGAAAGTTGGGCCCAACTGCCCAACGGACTAAAGATGCTTTGCTCAGTTTGGTGATTCCAGGATTCCTCGATTGGCCCTCAGCATCTGAGCCGGCGTCGCAACCATTCTACGTACTCTTTCTCCAAGCAGCCGAAGTTTGGCCGAGAAGCCAAGCCCCTTGGCACCAGTTTGAGCGGCCGCTTGTTCTTTGTCCCCTTAGCACTGGCAGGCCTGATGATGTCATCTCGAAATACGACGCAGCGCGCAGCTGCTTCGGCAAGCAGGTGCTGCACAAGAACAGGAGCGCGCCCAGCGTGGGAGCTGGCCTCAGCGAGCTCAGCTCGGGCCTGCCTTGCCTTGGAGCAGAGAGAAGCGCACGCTCAGCGCACGCTCAGCGCACCCTCAGCTCAGGTTTCAATCACGACACGCGTGACATGCGATCCAAGACCAAGCTCTGCATCACGCGACTTGGCACAGAGCTCCGCTGCCGCTGCATTGGGGGCCTCGCTTTGGGCGTTCGCTCCAAGGAAGCTCGACGAGGGGCCTCGCGCCAACTTCACAAAGATGCACATGCCGATGCCGCGGCTACCGATGGAGAAGACGACAGCTGCCTGCACGGGGAGCCGCATCGAGCGCTTTTTCAGCGTCTTACTTTCCTTGTGTTTCTGGTCCGAGGATCCTTTCCAGTGGCTTTGGCTAAACCGTTCCTCGATGCGTTCGCGTTTCACCCTTTGCGCATGACGAGACCTGTCCTCTAAGGGACGAGTGTTTTAGTGCCGGCGGCAGACCAGCGAGACATGACCCAACTCGATGAAGATAACCCAAGCCAGCACTGCTGCACTGCAGCTGCTACCCCTTTGCAGAAAACGTGATCGCGGCAGGCGTAGAGTCCTGGAGCCTGTGCCAATGCCGCTCTGCCAGGTGCTTTTCTTTGGTGTAGTGCCATCGCACCACAGGGGTGCACAGTCCGAGACGGTTTCACGAGCTGGAGAAAAGCAGCCAGTATTGGAGCGAAAGCAGAGCAAAGGCAAGAAAAGAAGTTGAGTGGCTGAGTGGCTGCGCGCTTCTGCGTCCCCTTTGGAGGAACTATCTCCAGGCCCTGGAGCAGATCAACAAGCACCTGGAGCGCGAGCCCTGGCTTCCAAGTCCTGCCAGTAGACCCCTGCAGCCTTCACTTTCATGGCTCAGGCCAGCAATAGCTTGCGCTAAATTCGACTAGAAACTCGCACGGGGTCATGTGAGATTTAGTGCCGAGCTGCTGCATCCTGTGTCTTCTTCCGCCCATCTACATGTCTGGACTGACAATCAATCTGCTCTACTACGTGCAGATCTTCGTGATCAGTCCCGTAGTCCTGATGCTCTCAGCCCTGGGGCCCGCGCAGATTTCAAGAGTTCCTCTCCTAGGCCCAAGCTTTGTACCTGTTGTCTTCTGGTCCTTGCTGAGACGTTGGGTACAGATGGTGGACCGCGAACGAAAGAGCAGCTCCGGCCCACAGGAAAAGTTGCCCGTACAGGCGTCTGAATCCGGACCACTCTCGATCTATAGAAGGCTTTTTGGAGCTTGTGGGATTTTCTCTCCTTGGCGAACTGCATGGGCAGCGCTGAACGTGCAGATGCTCTTGCACTTGAAGTCACGAGCCTTTGGGGCCTCAGGCACTGGCGGGAGTTGTGCATTCCTCTAAGAGGACCCCAAACGTCAAGCAATCCCGGGCTCAGTGGTTCCGGAGTTGTCACGAGTTGTAGAATAAATCGGCATGCATAGCATAGCCGGCATAGCTCAGCTCACACAGCGGTCTCAGAAAAGCCCCGGAACGCACACGCATGGCACGCGATGACCGCACCTGTCAGTTACGTTGATCTGCCCAACACGATCCTCTAAACCTCAAGCCGGCAGAGAGAGAGGAGAGAAGGGGCATTTGAGCCGAGGTACTGGCCAGCCGGCATTATCAACCGCTGCAAACAGCGGCTGACGAAGATGCGGCAGATGCTGATTAGGCAAAGCTCTTGCATGATGAATTCGGCTCCGCAGCATCTCTCGTGCTGACAGAGGATGCGCAAGCTGGCGCTGAAAGGCGGCAGCAAGTGCGCCCTCCCTGTTGTGCCGGCTGTCATGGTCATGGTATGTCATGGTATCCTGGCATAGCCGCAAACCCAGAGTCTCGAGGTTGGTACCCATCAAGAAGAAGACCGAACGGCGTGAAGCGACCCGGGAGCTCAAGGCGAGGCCTCGGTCAACGATTGAACTGACGAGTCGCGAATTCTGCAGCTAACTGTGCAGCGAATTGTGCTGCTAACTGTGTCAAGGCCGAGACCGCCGCGAAAGTGGACCTGGCCATCGAGCGGGAGCTCCTGGAACGCCTGAAGCAGGCGTGAGTTTCGTTTAGGAGCGTAGGAGGTGTCTTTGGGGGGCTTCCGGAGGGTTGTGACTCGTCTCCCTCCATTGGCTTCAGGGCACCTACGGTGATATCTACAACTTTCCCAAGAAGCAGTGCTGCTCTCAGCGGGAGACAGAAAGAGCGCTCTGCCTTTCGGCCTTGTCAGGTTCGACAGTATCATGGAGAAGGACGGAGAAGCGGAGAAGGACGCTCTGTCACGCTCTTGGTGCACTGCACGGTGGCCACGGCCACAGCTTCGAAGGAGGCACAGGAGGGTGACGAGAGCGACATGGAGTTTGTGGAGGCCTCCAGTCTGAGAGGTGTCACGGTGTGTCACGTTCGTTGCTGCTCCGTGCTTTTTCCCGCTTTTGCGACCATCCTGGTGGCGCGCACATTCTTTGGCAGCGCAAGTCGCCAGTGCCGGGATCTCAGACTCTGCAGGATTTCGGAGAAGACGACGAGGAGGAGTGGGAGGACCTTGATAACAAGGCGATTTGGTGAGTCTGTTGGTGAGTCTGTTGGCTGATATTTGGGCTGTCTGTAGTCATTGTAGTCCTGCCGGAGGTAGAAGAAGTCGAGCTTGAGGATGATGTGGGCATGGCTGACATGGAGGACGAAGTGAAGCGGGGCACAGCTCGGACGCAGCGCACCTGCTGGATCCTGCCGGTTAAGCCTCGGAGCCAACACGTTTGAGCAGACCAGCGATGTTCTATGAGCCTTGCCGGCAGGATGTTGCACTGCCAGCACGGAAGAAGAGGTGCGGCCGGCCCAGTGGGATGAAAAAGAGGGTAGGCGTAACACGGCAAGGCGGGCGAGAGGGCCTCGGGTGGAGTTGGAGTACGAGGAGGAGATGGACGCAAGGTGCGTGCCCTGACAGTGCGCTTTTACGAATTGGATGCCATGGATACCATCAGATAGGCTTGGCCCTTGAAAAGGTAGCGCCACTTCCCGAGCTCGAGCAGACAATAAGTGCGGGTCCCATACATGGTTTCCATAGTTGTGCATTGAGTGTGTTGCACCGACGGGAAAGCGCTGAAGGACTCGATGCATTCGGCTCCGTCTCACCTCATCGCACAGTGTCGGTGTTGGCACCGAGAAAAACGTATTTGGCCGGAAGCACGTCTGGATCTTCGAACGATTTTGAAGGGTTGCGTCGGATTCGATTATGGACTGCGCGCCACGAAAGACATGTCCCCCCCCCCCCGCATGGTCTTTGTCACTGTGTGAGCGCTCGTCAAGTTTTCTGAGTTATCGTGTTCTAGCCATCATGCGAGGAGTGTTCATGGCAAGAAGCTCGCAAAGATGGCAGCACGCCATGTTGGCAACTCCTCTTGCAGACAGCGCCACTCGTCGCCAAGCAGTTCTTATCGACAGCCGCACTTGTGCCAGCAACATCCAGCAATGTGGCGACTAGTCGCGATTTGGGCTCTTCCTGCTGTGGCAGCGGCACTCGGCTGAGAAGATCTGGGGCGAGGTTTTGCGCCGAATTGGGCTGTGGGGGCATCATCTCGCCAGGACTACAACGTAATCAACCTCGACAACGCCACGTTCCCATTGCCGCTGGCTTTGACCATGGAGAGTCTCTACAAGCCTAAAAGCCGAAGTATAGCGGCGCTCCAAATGGAAGCTCTTGAGGCTGGTGGGCCGAAGGGATTGGCCGGTGCTTGTCCGCTTCGACCGGGTCCGGGCCTGGGCCGGAAAGTCGCGGGGGCTCTGCGGGGCGCCGCATGGGCTTTCAATGGCTTTCATGTGCCGAGGAGTACCCGTTCGGGGAGAAGGCCGATGCCTTCAAAGCGTGCCTTGGCCGCAGCGCATCCCCGGGCCTGCCTGGGGCTCGTTGAGCTTGGCAGGGTGGCCGCCGTCGTCGCCAAGAGCAGCAGGCATCTCTTCTGGCTTTCTGTTGCTGATTCCGCTCCACTCTTTACCTCTCGCCCAGCAACACGCTGATGGCCTCCGTGGGAATCTCGACTTACGGCGAGAAGCAGAACCAAGATGTGGCACCTTGGGCCCAGCGAAGACGTCTGCAGAGTGAGGGCAATCTAATCTCCGGCGCAGGCTTCTTCGTACTGTTCTGACGATGTCATGCTGTCATGTGATATTCGCTGGCAAATCTCTTGGGATCCACTGTTTCATGCATTTGGCTTTCAGTAAACTGCTCGGCAAATCCCAGCATCCCAGGCAAGACGATTTGGCCTTATTCCCAAAGGCAGGCAGTTTTAGCCTCGACGCTCTACGCTTTGGTCTGTCTTCAACATCTGGTGCGCAGACAAAGAAGAGTTGGAAAACAGCGACATGGACAAGCTATTCCCGAAGATCTTGTGCTCCATGCTGGTGGGAGTGGGAACCCCTGTGCAACGGCTTTGGTGACTCTGGTGACAGGTATTTCAAGCCAGGTGACTTGGAAGGTGCAGTTGGCGAGTTGTGCAGCTCAACCGTCCTTGTCGCTTTACGCGGACAAGTGCGGTTCCCCATGTTGCTCTCAAGTCTTCCATGCTTTTCTTTTCTGGAGGGCAATTGTACAATGGAAAGGTCACCAAGGCGGATGGCCCTTGGGCAACATGCCTGTGCAACATGCCTGTCTCTTCCAGGCCGGGTTGCTGAAGTTTCTGGGCATCGAAGCGAAGACCTGCGACGTCCTCACCGGCGAATTTTGCAACGAAGAGCAGCTGCCCGGCTGCGACTGGCCACTTTTTTGCCATTTTTTTGGTATCCAGCAGCCCGGTTCCTCCGATTGCAAGGAAGAGGCAGCTGAGATCCCTCTCTGGGAAGAGCCCGGAGGAGCTGCAGCAACTCCTGGAGGCTCGCAATGCTAGCCAGGAGCGAGTTTCTTACCAGGTCGTCTGTCAAATTGAGCCAGAGAATCCTGTAAGCTGGCACGGCATGGGAGTTCCGGCTAGCGGCCCCTTCTTTAGGGCAGGCAACTCTGTGGCAGGAACGCGTTTCTTGTCCTCTTGGGAAAACCTGTGCGACTTCTGGTCGGAGTCAGTTTGGCTTCTCAACGCACTTGTCGATCAACAAAAATTAGGCAGCTCGAGGCAGAAAGAGAAAACCGATAAGCACCATGCATTGTGCAACGCATGGTGTTCTGCGTTTCTTGGTGCTTTGCGCATTCTTGGGAACACGTTGCTTGGTTTTCGCAGCCACGGGACAGCGACAGCGCAAACAAGAAGAAAACGCAGACACAACAACAAGACAACAGCAGGTAGCCAAACCGACCACGTTTGGCAAAAGCGTTACTTGGAAATACACCTGTCGGCCTGCCCATCTTGTGCTTGCCCTGATCTGCTGGTAGCACCGCTGGAGACAGCTGCGGAGACACATCGCGTGGTGGCAAGCATCAGGAAGACCAGCAGGAAGACCCCGCGCTTGAGCAACGGATCTGCGCATGGCATAGCGGAAAATAAGGGCTCTTGAGATCCCCTTACCAAGAACGATAGAAAGAAAACCGATGAGCTGTGTTTCTTGAGCAGAGCCCGCTTGGATCTTGCGGCTAAAGCAAGGCTCCGCCCAAGTACCAAGTAAGTACACGGCAGGTGACAAGCACAGAGATGTAGCCCACCTGCAATTTCGATGCAATCGGTTAACATCGCAGAGTGTCACGCCGTTCTCCTGGTGCTGGCATACTAGTGGTGACCCTAAAACGCTTGACTGTGCAAGCCTAGTTCCCGACCCTTGTACGCCACAATCCCCCAATCAGGAAACCACGGCCTGAACCAGGATACCCCCTAAACTCACTGGCAGGACTTGGACAAGGGGGAGGGCGTAATCAGACAGACGTATACAATCGTATACAACCGCTCGTGTGTACGCTGTAACAAGCACCAATCTTTTTGACGCAGCGTAGCAGTGCTTGTTGCTAATCTTGAGCACAGTTGAACCTTGAATCTATTGCGGGTCAAGAATCCCAGTTTGATGGGATTTCGAGACTTGCAGTTCCAGAGTTCGGGGTGGGGGGTTTGGCAGTTTAGGGTTTAGAGCCCAACGCTCGCGAAGATGGAATACTTTGGAGGTCTGCGCATGAGATGTTGTGTTCCTTTGCGGTTGTATCGACTATTTAATTCCGTCAGCATACTATATTGTAGCCCACACCGGTGCCAACCCGACAATCACTCCTCTTTATTCTGCCCCTGTCGTGCGAGACGCTGAAGCTCGAGACAGGGATTGCGTCATGCTTCTTACGAGCTTTCCTTGGCGCCCTCTTGTTTAGCCCATCGGCTTCCGTCCTAAAGCCTCGTGAGCTTCGCAGCGTTGGAAACTTTTGACGTTTGATATGGTACTTGGAAGGGACTTGTTGAGGCTTGGCCCGAAACTCAGTCCGAACCTGCTCGGGGGACTGATGTGGAAGCCACCAGCCGCGACTCAATGACCAAATCACAAAATCTTCTTCCTGAGATTGCGAACTTGGATGTTTATTACATCGCAAGGGCGGAATTTGTTGACACTTCGCCAGGAGTTGAATTGGCCGCGGCAGAACTGGACTCTGTATGGAGTGGCCGTTTTTGTGGCTATTTCAGCCCAGGATAGAAACTGTTTGAGCCATTCAGTTCCCATGCAAGGGGCACAGCGGATGCAAGGGCCGCGGGATGGGTTGCCATGGACACCCATGTGCACCAATGCCTTCTCTATGGCCGTGCTTACACCAACCCACTGTGCCCTTGGCATAAGCTACAAGTACGGAGTTACTGGGAGATGGGAAGCCATACCTGCGACTCTGATCATGAAAGAACCCAAGCCCAAGTCAAGCCAATGAGCCAATCATATGCACCCAAATTTCTTCTTGATGTTTATTGCTCCCAAGTTTCGTTTGTACTGGCAGACCTTGACCAAGAGATCGGCGCAGACGCTGAAGAAGGAGGAACGCAAGGTGGGGCCTGGGACGTGTTGCCATCGGGGGAGCAGGGTTTAGGGTTCAAGGCGGTGTGTTGGGTGTACCTCGGATGCCTTGCTTCGCTTTGCTTCGCAGGAAGTGGAGGGACAGCTGGCGGTTCTGAAAAAGGTCTTGAAGGCATCCCGGTTACAACAGGCAAGAGTGCTTCGGTGGCTGTGTTCTGAGAGAGGCGCAGAAGAAGGCCAAAAAGCAGTGAGGAAGCGATCCTGTACTGGGCTGGCCAGGCTGTTTAGTGGGCTGGCGGGGAGCTGTGCCGACTGCGACCCTGGGCCCGAATCTGCAATGCAAGGATGTGGGGAAAGGGGGTGTTTGCGCAGAGCTTCCCAGATCCCGAACATCGCAGACGGTTTTGGCAACTTTGTTCTCCACGTGAGGTTCTGGTCGGGTGCAGCAGGTTTCTCATGGTGATGATAAGTGATGCTTCTCCAGCTAGGAAACAGCTATAGGCCGACTTCGCACCATGGAGAGTCAGTCTTGCAGCCTGGAACGCTACGCTTGGCCCACAATCGGCTCAAACGTGGTGCCTTCCGCGCAGCCATGGAGAAGCCGGAACGCAGCAAGCCCCGCCCGTATCCTGGCCATGCAAGGGAGAGCTTTGTCATGAGTCATGAGCGAGGTTTGTAGGCAAGCATGTTTGAGTACACGAGGCTAGCTGCTCACCTGCGGACTTCATGCTGAGCATCGGGAAGAGCCATCCTCGATCTGCTTGAGAGCCTGGCAAGATGAAGGTGCCGAGTACTCCCCGGCAGCTCGGCCGAAAACTCGCCTGCGCGGGGGTGCGAATCCGAATGCCAAGTCCCGAGGCAATATGTTGCCGGGTCACGGCGGATGATGAAGATCAAGGCCGGCTGTGCGGACTGTGAGGACTTCGGAGGGTGGCCGCGATGGCCGCGACTGACAGGAGGCCATGGACAGCCACGTGGTGAAGCTCGCCGAGGGGGCTTCGGAGCTCTACGTCCCAAAAGCCCCCCGGCCTGGCCATGCCAAAAGGCCCTCAGGTTCGGTCTGTTCGCCGAGTATCCGAGGCCGACCCCACGCAGGCCTGGGCGGCCGTGGAGGAGGCCGAACGATTTGGGCCTGGAGGAAGGAGCGAGAGGCAGGGGAGAGCGGAAGTTCAAAGAGCCTGAAAATCGGAGGCTCGGAGGCTGGCCAGGTGCCTGGCTGAGCTTCGAAGCGTCGCGGGCGTCGTGTGCAGTAGGTCAGAGAATCAGAGCCAGCTTGTGAGGCCCATGAAGGTTGCAGCCGTGTTGGAGAAGGAGAAGCAGGTCTTCTATGAGCGACCCCGGAGCAAAGTGAAGATCAGCACGCCCCTGGACTCCGACGCAGAGGAGGCGCGGCTTCGGCGCCCACGCTTCGGCGCGCCCACGCTTCGCAGTGCTCCTTGCCTCTGCAGAGGTGGAGTCCTCTTCGACGTCGGATTCCGAGGGCTCCGAGTCCAGCGACCAGCTCGGAGAGCCGGGGGCCCTGAGAGGGGCCGAAGGACTGCAGAGCGAGCCTCCCACCGTCTCGCCGCGAGGTGGGAGCAGAAGCAAGAAGACGAGGCCCCGCGTCGCCGGAGGATGCCAGTGGTGCAGTCAGCAGATTCACGAGATAGGCGTGATGATTGGCATACTGCCGCGAGTCGGCCCAGCGCCAACAAGCCAGAACGCAACAATCGCCGTGCGAACAAAGCCGGTGGTGAATTGAGTCAGAAGCTGTGACATGCTATGGGCCCTTAGCTGTTGCAGATTAATCATGTCTTGATGCCGGTTGTCTCTGGACGCCTTAAGCGAGGGCTTGAAGTCGGTCAGAGCTGAAGCTCGTTTTTGTTTAGCGCCTTAAGGCGACTCGGGTCCTTGGTCCATTCAGGGATCTCTCCCAAGGGTTCAGATCCTCTGGGGCTCCATGGTGTGTCGGCTTGTGCACGAAGGCAATCCAGCACTGGACCCTGGAGACCGCGGCGGACACGTTTCAGGACGAGTGCTTTCCGAGATTTGAGACATGCATTTGCCAGGGCACTCGGATTTTGCCGGCGCACTCGGTGTTCAAAGTCATCCGGTCTGTCGGCTACGTAGTGCGCAGGCTGTACCATCAAGCGGTTTCGCTTCTACAGGAGCTCTTGAACTCTTTCAAGTTCGACCAACGCGCGGATCGCTGAGATTGCTAGTGCCATTAGGCGTGGGCGAAGGAAGCTGTTTTGTGTTAAAACAGGTCGACACGCTGGAAGAGCTTCAGATGGGCTTCTCGAAGCGGGTGGACAACAATGAGAAGCTCAACGACGAGATGGACGAACTGGAGGGCCTCATGCGACAGGACGGGGCCCGGCCATGGTCCTAATTGTGCTGATAGCAGAGCAGCTCTCTGCGAGGACTGGGAGCAATTGGAGCAGGAGATCGCCGAGTCACGTGTGCACTTGGAGCAGCACGAGCTGCAGATGTTCCAGGTGCCCACCCCGAAGACAAAGCTCCGTGAAGCCCCCCAAGAGCCCCAGCCTCTCGACACTCTCGAGTGTCGAAACCATCTTCGTCTCTGGGTAGCACACGCCGATCCTTCCTCGTCTCGGCAGGCTCTGCAGCGCTACTTCCGCTGCATGGACCGGTACGTCTCCTTGCCGGGATCTCGTCAAAAGGCCCTGCAGGAGCGGGTGCAACGAGGGCTGAAGGGACGCATTTTTCCTCAAGACTCAGCTCCAACTCCAACGTCCGATCAGCTGGGACTCCCTGGGACCACAGGCCTCAATGAGGGAAAGGCTCGCCATCAAATTGCCAACTTCAACATCACTTCTTCATCCTGATCAGTTTGCCTCTACAGTGAGTCTAGGACCCTAGGAGTCGAAGTAGTGTGGCGATTGCTTCGTAGTTCGGTAATTGCGTCGTGCATTAGAGTCATTGCGATAATTGGCAGTACTAGTTGGGCTCAGAGGATGATTGCCACCTGTATGATTGGGGTAGCACTACCATAACTGTGGACAGTGGAGGGCTTCCCGGAAATCACTATCCGAAGGCGGAGCATCAGCAGCGTTTTTCTCGCCATGCCTCCCAGTGGTACCCTGCTTTGAGAGAGTTTGGATGGCTTCGCCTACAAAGTAGTGCTAGGTACTGGTGTCGCTGTTCTTCTCTGTTAGACTGGGAGCATTCCTTTTTTTCGGACGGAGGTGAGGCCCGGGGCGGGCCACATCGGATGAGGTGTGTTTTTTTTGTAGTGGACGTCCAAAGTTGTGCTCTTGCTGCAATGCCTGAAGCTGCAAGTCCAGGAGCTTCGACAGAGCATCCGTGACTCGGGCAGCCAGTCTGCTTCTCTCGATCAGCCCTCGGACGTCCTGGAGGTCGTGGAAACGATGCACCTTAGCCGCAAAAAGCCACCTGAGCCGTGACCGAAGCCGCCTGAGAGCCGCCTCTTCGCCTGTGTCGAGGGTGGAGGAAATCAAGCAGCTGCGCCAAGTCCTGGACCTGGAGTCGAAGCGCCACGATGCTTACGACCCTTGGGTCGCGTTGTGGGACTTGGGGTTACCTTCGGGTATTTTTTTTTGGCTCACGTCACCGACTTCACGTGTACTTCTTAGTATGAAATCTCCCGTGGCGCGTCACGAGACTTGACCCCAAGGAGCACGCCCTGAAAAAGCTGAGCCTGGCAGCGTTGGTCGGCGATGACAATGTGATGCAGGATCCCGCCTCACAGCTGAAGTCAGTTCGGTTTCCCTTCCGGTGTGTGGCCTTGTCCCTCAGGCTTTAGACCCGAGCCTTCTGATTGGGCCGAGGTGACGGCCCAGGTCGTGAAGGAGATCCGAAGGCGGAAACCCGGCTTGTCTTGTTGCTGAAGCGGATGCGGCGGAGTGAGGTGGGAGATCGACGGCTCTCTCGAAGACTGGGTCGCACAAGAGACGGCATCCCTGGGAAAGAACGAGTGCCTCTGCTACAGGCTTCGAAGATGCGGAAGGGGGATCCAGCAATAGCGATATCGTCAGTCATAAGCAAAGCTGAGCAACTGAGCTTAAGGATGAGCGGAGAAAGTCAAAGTTTCTGCCAACTTTGCATGTTGGTGATACCGGAGCCCGAGGTATGCCGCGCGGGTGACGCGGGTGAAGGCCGAGATCGAGGAGCTGAAGAAGCGACTGGAGCGGTACAATGCGAGAAAGCAGCGAAAGCGCCGGAATTCTCTGGGGATGCCCGGCCTTCCGAGCTCGTGCACAAACTGCACTCGGGAAGATGCGGTGGTTAAGCTTATCGCATAAAGTGAGCCGAGCAAAAAGACTCAGTCTTCATCAGCCCCATCTGAGGAAAAAGACGGGCGGCGAGGCCTCTGAGGAGCTGCCGACTGGCGGCAGCGCCTTTCAGAATCTTTCGCTTTTCGACGACTCGGTGGAGTGCCGGGGCCTTTGAACCTGGGGGCCTTGGGGGCTTGACGGACGCCGCTTGCGCTGCCGGCCAGGGAACTTCAAGCGTGAGCTTTCGGACATACGGAAAGCACAGAAGAAGCTGGAAGACCATTTGGCAAAGTTCGAAGGGCTGCGTAGCCTCATCAAGTACCAAGAACCTGTGCCTCGGCATGTTTTTGCCTCAAAAGCTCCTCCTCCTTCTCCTCCTCCCGGTGCACTCAGCCCAGGACCTGGAGGATAGCCTGAACAAGATCTTGGAGGTGACGACGACGCTCGGAGGCTTCAAGTCAGATGCTCGGGAGGCCTTTGAGGAGGCTCGAGTAGCAGCGTAACATACGACATTTTGCTATACATCTACGCTGCCCCAAGCCCCAAGCTATCTCAATGGTGTTGTGAACAGTCGCTTCTCGAAGCTCTGGTCTCACCCAGTCTGAAGTCCAAACTACAGCCCTGGGCTCTGAACTTCCATACCGGCAACACAACAACCATGGTTGAAATGCAAAGTAAAGCCCCAGACCCTGAACTCTCACATGTACCCTCCCCAAAGTTCCGGGTTTCTGGCCTTGAGCTTGGCAGAAAGTGCAGACTGCCTGCCCTGAGTTGCCATTGATTAGACAAGCCTTTACGGGTCCTGCCCTATCCAGCAGCCCGCACTGGGAAGACGGCGCAAAGATCGCAATTCATTCACTCACTCATTCACTCACTCACTCATTCACACACTCACTCACTCACTCACTCACTCTCACTCACTCTCACTCACTCTCACTCACTCTCAC